CGGTCGTCGGCGCGTCGGCCAGCGCCGGGCACCACTCAGATGCCATGCACGTCCCGACAGCCACCGGATTTATCCCATATTCGACGTAAAAATGCTGCCCAACATTCGAGCCGCTTTGTATTACAGGATCAGACCGTGTTCCAATCTGTTCAATTTACATCCATCAGTGCCGCCGCAGAGGCGAGCCCAGCGAACCGGTCCGGGAGGGTCGCTCGCCGACGGCAGCCGGTCGTATGGGAGTCCGTGACGCTCCTGTTAGCTCGCCGCTAACGATCGAATACCAGTCGGTAAAAACGCTGGCCGCAGCGTGGCTTTGTCTGTCATACACCTGGTGTATTTAGCTCTGTTGTGTTGTGTCATTTGGAACTGCTGTATATAGTCAGTCAGTGTTGGTTGATTGACACATTCTGTTGCAATGAGGTAAATTAGTTTTTTCTTTAAACATCTTGCAAGATTCCTCAGTTTTTTTTCCTTCTGATATTGTCCTTGTGAGTAGATCAATTAAATGCTGTCCGGCGCATAGCCCCTTGCTTCATCTACATCAACATACCCAGAGCGAACACTCGCTCGCACACCGCCGCCGCCGCCGCCGCGCCGCCCGTGCCACTTCGTTCCGGTTGTGTCGCAACGGCGGCGGCGGCGGCGGCGCATCCAATGGGGCGCGGCGTGCCAGACTGACGGCTGGGGCGTTCCATCGACAAATAAAAAATTAAATTTGCACCCTCATATTTTATTTTTCGTTGAAAACTGGTGTAACGGGTTGTGATGGGTGGGGAAGCCAGCTGTGGCAAGGATTTTTTTCTCCAAACAACGGTTTCCGAGATATAGCCTCGGGCAATTCCTGGAGGTCGCGCTGCAGCCCTATGTTTGGCGGCCTATAACTCAGAAACTATCGGTTTTCTACAATAAAAACTTTATATGGTTCAACTCACAATCAGCCAACAAACATTTTGGCTATCTCTGATTTTCAATTTTTGAAAATTTTGATCACGTGACCTTTTGACCTATTTTTCGAAGAGTGAACTTGATATTTTCACCACTGAAAGTTGCAATTTTGTCTGATGACGATTAAAGCCTTATCAATTGTCATTCATATGCGAAAATAAAAAAAGTGGATATCGCCCTGCGTTGACCTCAGGTCAGGTCATTTTTATGACCTGTCCATTATTACGAGCGGGAGCGACAGCGAGATCTCGAGAATAAAGCAAGATAGCGACAAGCGGTAAACGTTGCAGGGTACAAACGGATAAGGTCTATAATTTTTACTGAGGTCATTTTCAGGTCAGGTCAAAGATGACGTCACAGGAGCAAAAAGGAAGTCAAAATTGCGGCACAACATATATATGAAGTTTTTCTCGAATAACTTTCAAGGTATCCCAGCTAGGAACAAACCAATAGCACCATCGTGATCCTCTCGTCGATCCGCATCGAAACATATGTATGTTGACCTCGAAAGGTCGAAAGGTCAAAAGTTGACCTTAGGTCACGTGACGAGTGGGAGCGACAGCGAGATCTCGAGAATAAAGCAAGATAGTGACAAGCGGTAAACGGTGCAGGGTACACACGGATAAGGTCTATAATTTTTACTGAGGTCATTTTCAGGTCAGGTCAAAGATGACGTCACAGGAGCAAAAAGGATGTCAAAATTGCGGCACTACATATATATGAAGTTTTTTCTCGAATAACTTTCAAGTTATCCCAGCTAGGAACAAACTAATAGCACCATCGTGATCCTCTCGTCGATCCGCATCGAAAGATATGTATGTTGACCTCGAAAGGTCGAAAGGTCAAAAGTTGACCTTAGGTCACGTGACCTAAGGTCAACTTTTGACCTTTCGACCTTTCGAGGTCAACATACATATCTTTCGATGCGGATCGACGAGAGGATCACGATGGTGCTATTAGTTTGTTCCTAGCTGGGATAACTTGAAAGTTATTCGAGAAAAAACTTCATATATATGTAGTGCCGCAATTTTGACATCCTTTTTGCTCCTGTGACGTCATCTTTGACCTGACCTGAAAATGACCTCAGTAAAAATTATAGACCTTATCCGTGTGTACCCTGCACCGTTTACCGCTTGTCACTATCTTGCTTTATTCTCGAGATCTCGCTGTCGCTCCCACTCGTCACGTGACCTAAGGTCAACTTTTGACCTTTCGACCTTTCGAGGTCAACATACATATGTTTCGATGCGGATCGACGAGAGGATCACGATGGTGCTATTGGTTTGTTCCTAGCTGGGATACCTTGAAAGTTATTCGAGAAAAACTTCATATATATGTTGTGCCGCAATTTTGACTTCCTTTTTGCTCCTGTGACGTCATCTTTGACCTGACCTGAAAATGACCTCAGTAAAAATTATAGACCTTATCCGTGTGTACCCTGCACCGTTTACCGCTTGTCGCTATCTTGCTTTATTCTCGAGATCTCGCTGTCGCTCCCGCTCGTAATAATGGACAGGTCATAAAAATGACCTGACCTGAGGTCAACGCAGGGCGATATCCACTTTTTTTATTTTCGCATATGAATGACAATTGATAAGGCTTTAATCGTCATCAGACAAAATTGCAATTTTCAGTGGGGAAAATATCAAGGTCACTCTTCGAAAAATAGGTCAAAAGGTCACGTGATCAAAATTTTCAAAAATTGAAAATCCGAGATGGCCAAAATGTTTGTTGGCTGATTGTGAGTTGAACCATATAAAGTTTTTATCGTAGAAAACCAATAGTTTTTGAGTTATAGGCCGCCAAACATAGGGCTGCAGCGCGACCTCCAGGAATTGCCCGAGGCTATATCTCGGAAACCGTTGTTCGAAGAAAAAAATCCTTGTCACAGCTGGCTTCCCCGCCCATCACAACCCATTAGACCAATTTTAAGCAAAAAATAAAATATGAGGGTGCAGGGCACTTGTCGATTTGTCGTGGAACGCCCCGGCTGACGTTTCAATAAGCCCAGCGACGCCATCTTGCCTGCCGACCGGCAGCAGCGCCGGTGGCGAGCAGCGACGCCCGGTGGCGAGGAGTGCCGCACTCTGGGGAGTGGCGCACTGTTACGGGGAGTGACGCGCTGCGTGATGAGCACTCGCAATGAAGACACACATTCCAAAATAAGGAGCCTGGAGCGGAGATGTTTCACTAACATGTGAGCCCTGCCAAACGGCGCTGCCCTAATTTTGACAGGAAGTCTGCGTGTGAACGGATGATAATATGTGCGTGATACCTAGATTTAGGTTTTGAGAGAGCACCAGCTCGGCATTCGTTCAAAATAGCCCGTGCCATGGTTGGGGAGAGCGACCTTAGCCGCCTTTTTCAGATATCACCGTAAAACCGGTTTCGCCACAGCTGGCACCGGCTGGGATTGAGTCCTCACACAGTGACGTCATTCGTGTCCAGTCGGCGGTGATGACGTCACCGGTGTGATGACGTCAGTCGGCGGCCGACCGAGGAGGGTTGGGGTAAGGCGGACTGAGAACGACCGGCGCTCGCGGCGAGCCGACCGGCCGAGGAACAAACCAGCGAGCATACCTCCTTAATTGTACAGATTGTCACAAAAAGACAGAGTCGAGCGCGACTGGCATGTTAGACATGGAATGTTAAACGACATGGTCGGCAGGCCGACAAAAACCCGGCGCTGATTCAGATCCTTGATTACATATATTCTATGTCCAATCGATCCATGTTCCGCGCCCTTTGTCGCTGTCGTAAACGTCAGCTGGTTGAGGAGTCAATGCATCATCGTACTATACACCTCTCGGGGACTGGGCCGTCCGGACGGGTCGTCCGTCCCTCGGTCCCCGTGACAGCGTCGGCAGACACGGCCGTCCGGCGTCGCCGAAAAACGGGACAGAGCGGCGGCTTGGCGGATACGGTAAAGACGGCACGGCACGGCACGGCACGGCGCGACAGCATGGCTCGTATTGACGTAGTGACGTATACTATTTAGAGTGACTGAAGGTCGTAGCTGGTAATATATGACGTCACTGACGTCTGGTTTCACTCTGGTCCAAATATGACGTCACATTTGCGTGCCGCAGAGCTGAGCGTGACTCATTTGCCCATCCCGTCACGACCGAAAATACTTCATGACTGTCTAGCCGCTTTGTTAGCCGAATCAGCTACCATCTATTCAGTTATTTGCGTTGAATGTTAATGCACTACGTGATATGCCGCGATTAAAACATATCCAGCATTTTCTTCCGTGAATTATTTCCTGACGGCAGTTTTCGAATCCCACACGATATAAGAGAAGCCGACAGTTTCATGCGACTACACGACAACTCTATTTGCTCAGCGTGTCTGTGCCGCCGTGCACCTGACGACGCTTTGCGGTCCCGCACCGCACCAGACCAGACCGACCATTTTCCGGGCGGCAAAAAATGGCCGCAAACGTTGTGACGTCAGCGCTGGCTGCATTTCCGGGGAAAATCGTGTTTGCGGCGGGCAGTGGCAGCGAGCTGTCTCCGCCAACAGCGGGCAATCGGAGCTGCAGCTGCCTATTCACAGGTCACGGAAACAACCCCCGCAGTGGATAGGTACTCACTTGGCAACAGGGAAGGGGTCAAGGGAACAATGGCCGATGGGCGATTAACATATTCACTCCTGATAACAGGGAACTTGTATCAGAGGAAGGATGGATGATCTATTTCTGGTGACAGGGAATCGGGAGAGGAGAAGTTGACATGTTCGAAACCCTACTTCGTAACAGGCGACAGCCGACAGCCAACAAGACGCGGTAAGAGCAGGCAATGGAATGGATTGGATGCGCTCTTTGTGACATCGTCAAAGCCGGAGCCAACAGGACATCGAAGCGATACGAAGGACATGTGTGCTTTTCAATCACATGTTTTTTTTTAGTGCGTCACCTGGACCACAAAAAATGTGTTTTTAAAAAGTCTCCCGTATTGGAGAATGTCATCCACCCGTACCATTGATTAAGTAAGCCCGAGAAAAATCAGCAATCCATCTGATTGATTGTCACTTCGTTCCGACCATGGACATACCTGTGTCTCTGAAAGACTCAGCGTCTGCGCCAGCTGCTTGCGCTCCTGCCCCACCACGTAGTGGTTTTTCTCGAAGGCGTGCTCCAGCTTCAACAGCTGTGTTGGTGAGAACGCTGTTCTGATCCGCTTGGGTTTCCGAAACGGTTGGAACAGAAACTCGGGGAGATGTGGACCTGAGAACAGAAGAGGAAGGCCCGTCAGACACTGCAGAGAACAGAAACACTCCGAGGACCAATGTCAGAACACGCCGAGAAACGTGAACTTATCAGAATCCGAAGGGAGAATGAGGTTTGTCAGAACCTGTGGGTGACAAATTTAAGCAGGACGCTTTCGAAGTCCGAACCTTTATCAGGTTTTAGGGTATCCCAAAGAGGGCCTCGGCAGAGAGTACTGAGGAATGTTCGGGGCGTGACAGCGGAGTCGTGATGGAGAGGACGCACCCTTATGCTATGCCCAATTTACGAGTCCTCGCATAAAACACAAATATCACGATGTTCCGCACGAGTCCGCAGCAAGTTCCGCGCAAGCTGCTGTATATACAGATGGAGGCGGTCGCTAAGGTCAGCAGAGGCGTGAGGAGACCCCAGCCAGCTGTTGCAGGCAGGCGAGGGGAAGGGGTGAGAGGGGAGGGGCACGGATCGACAAGGCGGATGCCGATCACGTGTCCACGCGGCCGCCGAACAGCGCGTGCTGATCGGCTTAGTCTGAATGGGGTCATGATGGCATCTCTATCGGCTGAAGTCAGCATCACTCAGGGCTCAAACACCTCTGCGCGGCCCTAATCCTGAGTGATCGTCGCCAACACGTGTTCTTCTGGCTGCCCGGCGTGGGCTTCTGTGTCGTTCTCGGACCGCCGCGGGCTAGGTCAGGCTCGTCCCTCGGTGTCAGTGTCCGACTGACAGACACGGCTCTGAGCGGCCGATGGAAAAACGTCTGTCAGCTCGGCAGTACTGCGATAGGTTGAGCCTAGTGATGCTGCCGTTGTGTTTGACAGTTCATCCGTCGAATGCCTCTCTTGACATTTCGCTACAGCAGACCCGCCCACACTTGGCCTCAAAGACCCGTCTTGGCTGCTGAGAGCTGAATTACACAGCCATGGTAGATGATCAAGCTACAGCAGAAACTACGTCGTCATCGCATACTCACGATAAGACCCGGGCAGAACCACGGCGAAACCACGCTCAGAACCACGCCTTCTGGTTATAATCCCACCTGCCGGCCATACTGGTTCTGTCGGGTTCGCGCTGGCCGCGCCGCGAGGCGTGTCGGTCGCCTCTAAGCGCGTCCGGCTGGCAATGACTGGGCCTGTTAGCCGTCAATAATTACCGGGTACTGCGCAGTGTAATATATAACGACCCTAAATCAGTTAAGTAATTGCCAATTTATGAACATTTACATTGTATTTACATTTAATGTGCTTTTTAGCATGACTGTAACAAGTGAGTTTGCACTGGTAATCTGCACCATGTCGGCAGAGCAGCACACTGCTAATGATAGTGCCGGGGGACCGGTGTATAATGGCGGCTGGGCGGCAGCGCCGGTCGTCCCAGCCCCTCTGGTGCGCCCGGCCGCAGTCCACACCGCCCGTCCGGCACGCCGTACCGCTCCACCGGCCGGTCAGCTCTCTAATGAAGACGTTATGGAGGTAATCTATGCAGATTCGGGGCGGGGCGCGGTGATAGCTCGGTGGCAGCCGGTGGAGGATCGCTCATCTGTTCCTCCCTCTTATCCCACTCCATCATCTCCAAGGTCTGTGGGCTGGCCGGCCGGAGAGGGCTCAGCGCTCCCTTCTGGGCTGGCCCGCTGCCGGGCGGCTCTTGTTACCGGCTGTCGGCGCTCTCTCCTATTAGACATGCAACATGCGGGCCGCTGAGCCTAACGACCGCTAATCGAATCGGCTGGTGAATCGAGAGGAAATATCGGCCCCAGGGAAACGTGCGAGGGTGACCGGGGAGGAGAGAGGGGGCGAACGTCAGAGGAGAGAGGTCGGGAGTGGAGGGAACTAGTGCATGGATACCACTGAACGGAGGCGATGGGGCAGAATCGGAAAGGCCGGCCGCATCGGCTGCGCGGCAACCGTCGAGCCTACGCGCCGGTTGGATAAGCGAAGTCTCGGCATTGCAAGGCATCACGGACATCTCAATCCTGCAACTTATGAGCGCAGTGATTCTGGATGAGGTCGCTATTTTCTACCCTATTTACCAAGCGATCACAATTACGCCATAATTTATCATGAGATCATGTTTGATGCAACAAATAACCCGAAAAGGAATCGCCAAATAGCCTGATATTCCTTTGATCCCAATATTTGAACATTTACATGCTTTCCATTTTGTAAGTCAATCCTTGATGATGTTCACTAAGCCTGAACAATGGTTGACCTTTATCGCTGGCTCCGACTGCCCGCTGCCAGTCCATGATGGTCCCAATGGGTCTTACAGATGCACCGGTGATCCCCATTCCTCAATGGCTCCTCGCCCTTCGCCGGGCAGCGGCCCCCGCTGGCCCACAGGTCCCCGCCGGTCGCCACTGGCCCCACAGGTCCCCGCCGGCCCCCGCTGGCCCACGGGTCCACCACCTGTAATCAGGGCCGAGATCGGGTCTCTGCGACGTTTATGGAGCTGCGGTAACCCAACCGTCGCGGGCGGCAGATTGATGGCACGGTCTGGCCAGATGAGGCGGCGTTGGACACCGCGGATGCCACCGCGGCGCGCCTCCGCCCAGACGCCGGGCGAGCAGCGACCGAGAACGACACCCGTGGTGGACAGACTCTGGGAGAGCGACACCCACTGCAGAGAGATGCTGGGCGAGGAGCGACCGAGAGCGACACCCGCTGGACGGCCTCTGGGAGAGCAACATCCACTGCAGAGAGACGCTGGGTGAGTGACACCCACTGCAGAGAGACACTGTGTGAGTGACACCCACTGAAGAGACGCCAACTCCCCGAACTTTGCCTATAAGGACGGAGATAAGAGCGAGACGGCCTGGCCTAGGTGACAGACTAGCTGACTAGCTGAGACTTCCAGCCAAGCTGACAGACAATCTTCAGCTTTCGCCACAGCCATGCTGCCAAAATGCGAAAACCTCGTAAAGCCAGAGTTGTTAAAACTTGTCAACAACTATCAGGGCCTTTGATCTGTTGGATGGTCAGATCGGATGAAATGTCAGATAAAATGCATCAAAACCATCATGGAAGAGACCGAACCCCAGGCAGAGCCAAACGCAATTAAGCAGCTAGCCGAAGTTGCCTCGGCGTCCTGGCGGCACCCGTCGAGGTTTGTTGCCGAGTTGACGCGCCCAGCGCTCTTTGTGCAACGTTGGCCGGCGGCGGACGCGTCAGCTCATTACGGGTTGGCACAGCTCGGCACTTCGGCGGCCATCCGTCATCATTAGCGCTCCGTGGACTGTGCAGCGCCGGCGCACGGGCCGCCCAGTTCGACACGGCACCTCCGCGCCGAGAGCTGTCCGCCCGGCCCGCGGAGTGTGCTGCGGGTCTCTGACATCAGCCGTGGGCGGAGACTGATGTCCGGCCGCAGACAATCATCTCAATTAGAGCGGCCGTCGCGCTGACGGCCAAATGTCGGTCTTCCTGCCCCGGCCCGTCAAAGGGGTGTCGGCCCCGGGCGGTCGGGCGCCGCCCCGGACCGGAGGGCTGCGGCGGCGCGCGCCGAGCTGCTGTGGTCGCTGACGTCGCCGAGGTCGCGCCGGGTGCGCCAAAACATTGCGGCAGATCCCAAATCTGTGCAAACATGAGTAGAGTTTCACATCCATATTCGATGAAAATTTAAGTCCAGACAGATCAGACTTCAGACAATGTGCGAAAATGCTTACATACGTGCGCATTTCATCTATGCAGCCTCCTAATTAGCCAATTTGCCCCACTACCGCTCCCGATGCCCTCACTGTTGTTTTCCTCTCCCTCTTCCCCTCCCTCCCTCTGTCTTCTCTCCTGTGCCGGCCACCTGAGTTTGCATACGTCGGTGAGGCTGCTCAGCGCGCGCATCTGTCTCGTCCATGCTAATACGGCGATAAAGCGGCGCCAATTAATTGCTTGTCAGGCGGAGCGGTCGGGCCGCGGACCGACGCGGCTGCTAAGTTCGGCAGACCGGCCGGCCGGCAGACATCCATCCGAGGAGTAGCTCACGGAGGAAGGAGAAAGGTCGTGTGCTGGCCGCTCCGCGATAACACAACCCGAGGAGATTGTGGCGTGAGGGACTGCGCTGGCCTCCAGATGGGCGGCTATTAGCACTGCCCGCGGTGTAAGGATGCAACAAGGAGTAGGCAGGCTGCTGAAGGCTGCAAGAACAACAGAAGGATGCCACAGCGGGGAGGAGAGATGCAGAACAGCGGAGGACATAGTGGGACGTGAGATGTAGGTAACCATAGCCTGAGACGAGAACACACCTGACAGTGAAATACGAGAGATAACGGAGGTCCAGCATCTTGGTGGACAACTTGGTTGTATGAAAATGCAGTTAAAAGGTTGTGTTGGAATTTTGAAACGTACTGGCTCACAGAAAAAGAATTATGAAGGAAAGTGCCTGATATTATTAATGCATTGGTGGTTTTGAATTACCTATATCGGCTGTTGATGGCTTAGAAAGGTCAATGAGACGCTGTGAAATGTCAACACTGCTTAACAAGCATGTCATAATTGCATGCCGTCGAGCTCTTCAATATTCATGTCCAGCTGTGCATTTTTGTAGCGCCTATGTCAACCTGAACCAGTCAGAACAGCTAATCAGCCTGAAACCGATCTGACCTACCTAAATGTCATATATGTTACAGCGCTGGCCGATCTGACCTGCCTGAATGTCACTAGTTACAGCGCTGACCGATCTGACCTGCCTAAATGTCACTAGTTACAGCGCTGACCGATCCTATACCTGCCTACACGTCACTAGTTACAGCGTTGACCGATCTGACCTGCCTAAATGTCACTAGTTACAGCGTTTATCGGATCAGTGGAATGCCGGCGTGCGATGCCGATGTGATCGCCCGGATCGGTCCGGTCGGTCGCGGGATGTGTCCATCTCTGTCACCTGTCCTCGTCCTGACACGGACGGACGCCGAAAAACGCCTCCGCCGCGCCGAGACAAAACCGACGCACCGCCAGCCGCAGAGGTGATGCATCGCCGCTGGGAGCGAGCTTTTGTTCGCCGTCTGTACGCTG